CAACCCCCAAAAGAAAAAAAAAAGTAGCAGGCTGTTAAGTCAGGTCTCCTTGCTGGCCACTCATACATAAAATAGGGAGTTACCTTTCAATCAAGGTGTATTAGACAACAAGAATCCACCCGAAAAGGAAGTTTTGTTGTATTCAACCGACAAGGTTTCATCCATTTGATTTCTTTATTATATGTTTACAATTTCCGAATAAGATGTACCCCGGGATTGAAACTAGGAATAAACTGTCCATTGCGGTCGTATTCATAATTAATAATGTCCACACAGGAAGAAAATGAATATCGCATTGATGTAAATCGATACATGGAAACAGAGATAAAGAAAAACAAGAAACAAGAGATAAAAAAAGACAATGACTTGAAGGTAAGACAATACCTACACAAATCATGCAGATGGTTATACGACTTGGTTATCGGAGATTTACGGGTTTGTGCATGTAGAGACGTACTGAGAAATAAAAACACCGAGTGAAAAAGAAAATAATATAATAATAACCCGTTAAATGGAAGCGTTCGTTTTGAGAAACGATAGTCTAACACTCAACCATCTTCTTCGGGTGACATTTTGTTAGCCTTTGTAGTTAATCAAATTTTACTTCGTCTTGTACCAGCGGAAAACACACCGTTCTCTCTTTTTGTGTAGCTTTGTAAAAAACAGACGACAGAAAGGACAGTTGTTTGATCTACAGGATGCCCAGTAAAAAAAGCTGCGAGTTTATTCTTCGAGCTCTAATTGGTCCATCTCAGTGGCCCTGTAAAAGTCCAGATCTGAATGTTATGGATTACTGGGGCTGGAGTATACTCCTAGATCAATCGCAAAACTGTTGTCCTGACATCGTCGATATTGATTCATTGAAGTGGAACATTAACACTAGGATGGCCGAGGTGTCGTTTTCGACATCTTCAAATTTTCAACAAATTACTATGGAATAACTAGTTTTGGTTCGATGCTGAGGCTTATGGACAATTATTGAATTTAGCAAAGATGCTTAACAGACTTAATTCTTTAAAAAATATTCAGTGGAATAACTGATATTTGAGGTTTTACCTTGAATGGCCGAGGTGTCGCTTTTGACACCTAGTCTATTTATAGGGTAAATGCATTGAAAAAATCTTCACAACCAATAATACTTGTGTTTATGGCCCCTATCTATCTATTTATCTATCTGTCTACACACACACACACACATAATATATATATATATATATTTATTAAAGACATTTTTATGTTTAACGTTCTTTTTATAGATACAAGTATTTAAGTAAATGCTCTGTTTATAATAAACAGTATTAAATAACATTTACCGGCCTGAATCTCCGAGAAATTTTCATAGAAAATATTCGTCCTTTGACAGGATTCGAACCTGCATCCTATAAAATAAATTGTCGGACTTTGTCCATTTCTTAATATATATATATATATATATATATATATATATATATATATATATATATATATATATATATATATATATATATATATATATATATATATATATAACTTTCTTTCAGTATGAGGTATACTAATATTTGTGAATTTCTTTTCAGACTTGTTATTCCTGACTTGAATATTGAATATATTAGAGATGAGTGTTTTCAAACGTAATGTAAGTAAAAGATGTCAAAAGAGCTGGCCAACCTAGTGTTAACTGAATCTTTAAATACATTTCCTCTTGACACTATCCGCAAATCTACTGCCTCCTCCTGGTTACCATGTTTACAACTTTGTGTTGAACATTCAGGCAAATATTTCGGACATCTCCGATGATTGTTCAGTTTGAAATGAATCATGAGAGCTAAATGAATTTCTTTCTGAATTTACCGTTTTTTTTTAATAGGCAAAATAGTAGTATTCCTAAATTATTTAAAATTAGTCAAAAAAAAATGCAACATTAGTACAAAAGTAACTGAGAAAATATAATAATCAATAATCATTTCTTTCAACACATTCTTGACCCTTCTAAAAGAAAAAAAAAAGTAAGGATACTACAAGATGCCTAGTAAAAAAAAAAAGAAGTAAAAATATTCTTCGAGAAAAAATATACCAGCTCTATTTGGCCCATTTCAGTGGAGTTCTAGTTACTGTAACTGGAGTATACTCCTGACTCATTTGCAAAGCCGTCATCGTGACATCGTCGATATTGATTCATTAAAGTGGAAATTAACTGAACCATGGAATGAAATTTCTCTTGAGACTATCCGCGAAGCCTCATATTAACCACGTTTACAACTTTGTGTTGAATATTCAGGCAAATATTTCGAACATCGACAATGATTTTTCACTTTATGCATGAATCATAATAGCTAAATAAATTTCTTTCTGGATTTAGCACTTTTTTACTGGGCACCCTGTAGATGTAACCAACAGTTCTGTTCTAATAGTTTCTTTTCTCGCACTTCTCATCTGTGGAACTCACTTCTGATTTCTTGTTTCCTTACTACCTACACGTTCAAAATTTTTAAAGCAATGTCAATCGTCATCTTCTGTCTTCCGTGTTACTGTTAAACTAGCTACAAGTTGCCCAGTAAAAAAAAAAAAGAAAAAAGAAAAAAAAACAGCACATTTATTCTTCGAGAAAATACATCAGCTCTAATTAGTGTGTCTCAGTGTCCATCTAAAAGACCAGATCTGAATATTATGGATTAATGTATCTGGAGTATACACCTGACTCACCCGCAAAACCGTCGTCGTGTCATCATCGATATTGATTCATTGAAGTTGAACTTAACTGAACCTTAGAATAAAATTCCTCTTGACACTATCCGCAAAAGCTACTGCCTCCTCCTGGTTACCACGTTTACAACTTTGTGTTGAATATTCAGCCAAACATTTCGAACATCATGATAGCTAAATAAATTTCTTTCAGAATTTACCGCTTTTTTTTACTGGAAAATCTTTATCCGAGATTCGTTTTTAGCTATGAAAGACAACAAGCTAAAGTTTTGTTTTAGCGATTAGATAAGAATGCCTTTTCTCAGCGGATTAATTAACCTATACAGAGAGACAATCTCAAGAGAATCAGAAAACCCAGCAGTATTTATAATTGGCTGACATAATCCTAACAGCACTAATAGAACCTCGACGAGGTGTAATGGTTAACAAGCTTATCTTACTAGATCAATTACAGCAGAATACGATTCTCACTGGATGCTTCACATTTTCGGCCTTGTGCCACAGTTAAATTACGATTAGAAAATCATATGTAGACACTTTAACTTGGTGTAATGCTTAACAAGAATGTCTTGCTAATCAGTTACAACAGAATAGGTGCTCCATACTTTCGGCCTTGTGCCACATTTAAGCTCTACTTAATCTTGGCAGCACTAGATACAAGGATGACCCTGCTTTCATGGTGCACCCAGAAAAGAAATTATACGTAGAAGGTTTAGACAAGATAAAAAAGGAAAGCCAGAAGAAAGGACTAACTATAAACTATAAAACTTATTGACTGATTTGTGTTTCTACGGTTTATCAATCTTCTGGAAGTTCGCATAAACTATAAAAACACAGAATCCATGGATATAAATAAAAAAAAATAATGCAGTCCAAGATTTAAGCCTCTTAATGGACGTTAAATGGAATCTTGTCCAGAAGATATAACTAATTACAGAGTGTAGTAAAAGCCGATGGGATATTTGACGCAGTAATCCTAACGAGCATAAGAATAGCGAAAGATGACTTCCAGAAACTAAGCAATGTATTAAGATTTAGAAAAATACCTGAAACGAAGAGATAAGTGTTGACTTGCTATGTAATACGAGTTTTGATAAAAAGGTATCAAAATGCTATAGAAACAGATTTAAAGAACGCACAGTCAAGCCGCTTGACACAGACTTATCTTGAACTCTGTCGCGCACGCATACTAATGCCTAAAGTTCTCGCTTGCTTCCGTTGTACATAACAGTGCTTGGAAGGAAAGTGTGTAGAGTGTGGTCGTTTCACCAGACTACAGGAAACCTTTTGAAAATAGTTATTACAGGGAACTCTTCATCATGAGTATGCTTCAACTGCTCAGGCAGTAAACAAAAATTACTAATTTGCTGCGTTTGCGGGATTCTGTTCTTCGAAATAGGACAGAATTGTATGCGTCCTGTGAGTGACAATTCCAACCTAGACAACGCACCTGCCCATTCAGTGTAGCAGTTTTTGGCCAAGTACAACATTCCTAAGGTCCGACAACCACCATAATCTCCAGATCTCATCCCTTGCGACTTTTTACTCTTTCCAAGAATCGAATCCCACTTGAAAGAAAAAGATTTGAAGACGTCGAGAAAATCCAAGAGAATGCGACGAGCGTGTTACTCGCTGTCCACCCCACCCCTCCAAAAGAAAAGGAGCTCCAGAAATGTTTCCATAAATGGAAATGATGCTGGATATGTGTGTGGACTCAGAGGGGAACTATTTCGAAGAAGATTAAATGCCGAATTGAAATGTGTAGTAGTTTCCTTTTATAGCACGTAGGCAATCACGGCTCTCCACTATTTCGTGTTATTTTTCGCTCTTAAAAGATTTTGCCGTTTTTGTTATATCTCCTAAATCTTTCTCCACCATCTTTAGCTCGCTAGGTAGTTTATGCTCTGATAAAAATGAAAAAAAACTCATTGACTCAAGTGATAAACATCACATGGTGAACTTTGAAAATTATTTTTTTTAAATAAGTTTTCCAAACCGATATAATAAAAATCCTAACTGATATATTTAGGCTTCATTATTGATTGATTAATTGATTCATTTTTTACGGGGTATCAACACTTAAAACAAGAAATACATTGTTTGGAAGAATCTTTTTCTTGGAGATAATAATGATTTAGTGATACAAGTCTTACTAGTTAATCCATAGGTGGGGCAGAAGAGGTTGATACATACTTTTCCCAAGTCTATTTTGCGCGTAAGTGAATGTAACGAACACTAATGAATCGGAGAGCTAAAAACTCGGCTCTCCGATGAATAATTCCGACCCATTATACATTATACTACCCGCACATGTATGCTTACAGTCTCTGGTATTCCCAAGAGGTCACCCATCTTGGTACTAACCAGCTTGACGTTGCTTAACTTCAGTAATCGCACGAGAACCAATGTTTCAACGTAAGCCTAAAGAAAAAAGAGACACAGAGATAGATAGATAGATAGATAGATAGATAGATAGATAACAAGACTTCGACAAATAGGTAGATATTAGGTTGGTGCAAAAATAATGACGTAATAATGTCGTTGTTTGTTAAAAATACGTCAAAGAACGATGCGATTATTACGTCATTATTTTTGCACCAACCTAATACATACATAGATCGATAGAGAGATTGATAGATGACAAGGCTTAGATAGATAGATAGATAGACAACAAGGCTGAGATAGTATACACAGCTTATATATATATATATATATATATATATATATATATATATATATATATATATATAGATAGATAGATAGATAGATCGATAGATATGAACTGAGGATCGATGAAAAAGAAAGACTAGATAGATAGATAGATAGATAGATAGATAGATAGATAGATAGATAGATAGATATGAACTGAGGGATCGATGAAAAATGAACGCATAGATAGATAACAAGGCTGAGTTAGTATACAAGGCTTAGATAGAAAGATAGATATATACTTAAAATACTGAGATAGATAATGAAAGAGATAGATAGATAGATAGATAGATAGATAGATAGATAGATAGATAGATAGATAGATAAGAACTGGGGGATCGATGAAAAAATAACGAATAGATAGATAACAAGGCTGAGATAAATAAATACATAGATCGATGGAGAGATTGATAGAAAACAAAGTTTAGATAGATAGATAGATAGATATATGGATAGGAATTAAGTTGAGGTATAAATAATTGCGATGATCGTACGAGAAACGCCGTGCATTATTACATTTAAAAGATTTGAATTCTGTCTACAAAAAATGTAGACAGAATTCAAAACTTTTAAATGTAACAAATGTCAAAGTTTATCATCATGACAGAAAAGAACAATTATACAAAATATTAAATTTATTCTTTCCTTTTTCTTTCTGTAATAATCTGCGATTTGGGATGAAAACCCAGGTCAAAATCAAAACTCAAAATCGTACCCACTTTTCTCTCTCTACATACGACGCTTTTCGTCCCACTAATACTGATTCATGATCTGAAACAAATGGTTTCGCGAATCACACGAAGTTTAGTATTCGATTACTCTAGCTTGGACATTCATATCCCGGCAATCATCAAGGTCCTGCATAAAGGTTGGGTCCATAGAGATGAGATTTAGTTAGATGGTGTCGCCAAAAGATCGCAGTCCTACATCAGGTCGGAAGGGTGGCATCCTGTGTCATTACATAGTTGATCAATTTAAGGGTTCAGCTCGGCAACAAACCCGTCTTGTGCCGTGGCTAGGTGTCCTGCGTTAAGTCCTGCTTTAAGGTCGGAATGACATTGGGGTGGCATTCTGTGTCACTAAATAGTTGGTCGATGTAAGTGATTGTTGTGCAACCAACCCATCTTGCGACACAGCTAGGTGTCCAGAACAGGTTCTTGTTTTGATCGCCGGGCCAATAGAGCTGTGATTTAATTGGATGTTGTCTCCGAGAGATGTTAAGTATAGATCTCGTCATCCGAGTGTAGGTTCCATCCGCCTTGAATAAAATGCACTGATACCCGTTCTTAATGGATAACAAAATTCGTACGACTCACAATCCCGTTTGATAAAAGATTATAATTCGTATTCGACAACAGAAGTATGCAAATATGGACACCATAGCTCGTGAAATATTAAAAATGGCCGACACATGATTGATGGAAGACCGGTAAGTGCTGAGTTTGAAACAGCTATTCTTCTTCGTAATGCAGCTACCGAAATCGATTTTTTTCCGGTTTGATTACGAATATTTTTAGTCTCCAAAATATACATAGAAGAAATAATATTCTTTTTATTTATTTATTTTGTTTTAATGCTCTTTTTTTTTCCAAAATCTTTCCGTATGAAAAGTAATACTTCATTTTTTGTAAAGATAGAGCACTGTAGGAGGAGTGAGATACTTTGATCTCGCTATTTCAAAGATAGAGAATGTCAAGAGGTGTCAGATACTTTGATCTCGCTGTTTTAAAGATAGAGAATGGCAGGAGGAGTCATATACTTTGATCTTGCTGTTTTAAAGATAGAACGTGGAAGGAGGAGTCAGATACTTTGATCTTGCTGTTTTAAAGATAGAACGTGGAAGGAGGAGTCATATACTTTGATCTTGCTGTTTTAAAGATAGAACGTGGAAGGAGGAGTCATATACTTTGATCTTGCTGTTTTAAAGATAGAACGTGGAAGGAGGAGTCAGATACTTTGATCTTGCTGTTTTAAAGATAGAAGATGGAAGGAGGAGTCAGATACTTTGATCTCGCTGTTTTAAAGATAAAACGTGGAAGGAGGTCAGATACTTTGATCTTTGCTGTTTAAAGATAGAACGTGGAAGGAGGAGTCATATCTTGATCTTGTTTTAAAGATAGAACGTGGAAGGAGGAGTCATATACTTTGATCTTGCTGTTTTAAAGATAGAACGTGGAAGGAGGAGTCATATACTTTGATCTTGCTGTTTTAAAGAAAGAACGTGGAAGGAGGAGTCAGATACTTTGATCTCGCTGTTTTAAAGATAGAAGATGGAAGGAGGAGTCAGATACTTTGATCTCGCTGTTTTAAAGATAAAACGTGGAAGGAGGAGTCAGATACTTTGATCTTGCTGTTTTAAAGATAGAACGTGGAAGGAGGAGTCAGATACTTTGATCTCGCTGTTTTAAAGATAGAAGATGGAAGGAGGAGTCAGATACTTTGATCTCGCTGTTTTAAAAGATAAAACGTGGAAGGAGGAGTCAGATACTTTGATCTTGCTGTTTTAAAGAAAGAACGTGGAAGGAGGAGTCAGATACTTTGATCTCGCTGTTTTAAAGATAGAAGATGGAAGGAGGAGTCAAATACTTTGATCTTGCTGTTTTAAAGATAAAACGTGGAAGGAGAAGTCAGATACTTTGATCTCGTGTGTTTTAAAGCTATAGAATGTCAGGAGGAGTCAGATACTTTGATCTCGTGTGTTTTAAAGATATAGAATGTCAGGAGGAGTCAGATACTTTGATATCGTGTGTTTTAAAGATATATAATGGCAAAAGAAGTCAGATAATTTGATCTCGCTGTTTGAAAGATAGGGAATATCAGGAGGAGTCAGATACTTTGATCTTGGTGTTTTAAAGATAGAGAATGGCAGGGCGTATCAGGTACTTACTACAACGGTACAAGGGACCGAATATTTTCCTACCGTTTTTAGCGACGGTTCCCGCATACGAGTTTCACTTGAGATCTGGAACTATTTAATTAGTTGATGAAGTCTTTTATTTTGTCTATGACGAATGAGAAGTATGGTTAAGATGGCGAGGGGAAAAGAGTGAAAAAATGTCAAGTCTCAAAGAACCGCTTACCGTAACGATGGTGTAGAGGTTTGGTTGTGTTAACGTCGGGTTGACACTCATCATGTAAGGCGCGGTAACGCCTAAACGCGACAACGTATGGATTGTGGGAGTAAAATCTCTTGATAGATAATCCGCTCGGTAGCCGCCAATCGATATCAGCACAAGTGGAGATTCGTCTTGACTGAAACAGATACAAAGAAACAATAAACAAATATATATATATATATATATATATATATATATATATATATATATATATATATATTATAATTTTTTTTAAAATATGATTCATTCGCTGCATAAGAGTTCTCATGTTTCAAAAACGAGAGCCAAAAACCTCAATATGATTATTAAAATTAAATTGAGTTAAAGTATCAAGCCCTGTTTGATCCTTATGCGAAAATTTAGTCCAAGTCATATTCTGGAGAGGTGTGTTCATCTCCAGAACACCCCCATTTTAGATATGGATTTTCTTTAGTCGATGCTTTTTCCGACATGGGTTCACTTCCAATGTTTCAGTTAGATTATGTTTTCGCTTACCCTGGTGTTGTATTGTAATATTAGTTTTAGGAACAGCTACTTCAAATGTATTGTAATGCATGTCCATCGCTGAATTAAATTGAACTGGTTGCTTATTCTGTGCATATCTAGACCTAAATTGATTTATGAGACTTCTATGTCGAAATTGTCCACCTTCGATAATATACATCCTACTACCAAGGCATCGAATAATTTTTCCTTCCAGCCAATTTTCTTTTCCGGCTTTAAAGCTTTTAAAGGAGACTTTATCGCCGATCTTAAATGATTTGGTAGTTGCAAATGTTCGAATTTTCTTTTTATTCCATGGCAGTAATTTGTCAAAAATAGATCTAACTTAACTTGGAAACATGAGTTCTGCTAGTGACATTTTCGCGGTGACGTTAGCATTTGACGTCATTCGATATACGCTCAAAAATTCTTGTAGTGACGTTTTTCAGATTCCTTGCCTTTTGTTTTTCTTACTGCTCCTTTGAAGGTGTCAAGAAACCGCTCAACTTGAACATTCGATCTCGGATGTCAAATGTCCTACTGCATAGTTTTTGCAGAAAATTTAAAATTCACTAGAAGTAAATTGAGTTCCATTATCGGATGCCACACTGTAAAATACTCCAAACATAGCAAAAATTTCGCGTAAGAATTTAATCTTTATTGCGGTAGTAGGTCGTTTATTCTAGAGCCATTTTGTATGTAATTCACGCCACCTCCTCTTCTCTCCCTTAAAACAATGTCCATTAGTAGTGTTTAACCTTGAGTGCTCCTTGGGTCTTGTATTGGGGGAACTGAAATAAAAAAATGTCACAAATGGCAATTCACAAATAATAAAAACGGAGTCTGTGGAGAACTATGGAGAGCCATGAACGCGTACGTCATGAATGGTATTAAAAAGAAAAAATGTATTTGCAAAAAAGAACTACTTACAACCACGGACATATCTTGGGTGTAGGTAATCCGGTATTAGTTGTTGGGCTTGTGGTATCCGATTGGGAACTTTTTTCTTTCATATTTTTTTCCATTATATGTATTCCTACGCCGATGCCGATTGATAAACAAATAATCACCTGCAATTAAGAAAAAGAGGAAAAAACTAAAGCCAATG